TCCAACTGAACTGAAAGAACTAAAAGTACAGCTGCAAGAACTGTTAGACAAAAAGTTCATCAGACCTAGTACCTCACCGTGGGGCGCACCTGTTTTATTTGTAAAGAAGAAAGACGGCTCACTGAGACTGTGTATTGACTATCGTGAACTGAATAAGGTAACTGTAAAGAATAAATACCCATTACCGCGTATTGATGACCTGTTTGATCAGTTACAGGGTGCTAAAGTATTTTCGAAGATTGATCTTAGATCCAGATACCATCAGTTGAAAGTTAAATCAGATGACATTGATAAAACTGCTTTTAGAACGAGGTATGGACATTACGAATCTTTAGTTATGCCTTTTGGAGTCACGAACGCACCAGCTGCATTTATGGGCTTAATGAACAGAATCTTTAAACCGTACCTTGACAATTTTATTGTTGTATTTATTGATGACATACTGATTTACTCCAAAAGTATAGAAGAACATGAACATCATCTGAGACTTGCCCTACAAACCTTAAGAGAACAGAAACTGTATGCTCAACTGTCTAAATGTGAATTTTGGCTTGACCATGTTATGTTTTTGGGGCATGTTGTTAGCAAAGATGGAATTTCCGTTGATCCGCAGAAAATCGAAGCTGTAGTGAACTGGCCTAGACCAACCAACGTGACTGAAGTCCGAAGCTTTTTGGGTTTGGCTGGATATTACAGAAGATTTGTCAGAGATTTCTCCAAAATTGCTTTACCGTTGACTCAACTGACTCAGAAGGGGATATTATTTGACTGGACTGACCAAAGGGAATCTGCCTTCCAGGAGTTGAAAACTCGATTAGTGACTGCACCGGTTCTTACCTTACCTTCAGGTACGGATGGTTATACTGTATTTAGTGATGCTTCTCATAAGGGTTTGGGATGTGTTTTAATGCAGAATGGGAGAGTAATTGCCTATGCTTCCCGACAACTGAGACCGCATGAAAAGAACTACCCGACCTATGATCTGGAACTTGCTGCAATAGTATTTGCACTGAAAATCTGGCGTCACTACCTTTATGGGGCAACATGTGAAGTATATACCGACCATAGGAGTTTAAAGTACTTCTTCACACAGAAAGAACTGAACATGAGACAGCGGAGATGGCTAGAACTGATAAAGGACTATGACCTACAGATTTTGTACCATCCGGAAAAAGCTAACACCGTTGCCGATGCATTGAGCCGGAAATCGATTGGAAACTTAGCCTGTTTGCTTACCGGGCAGAGAGAGTTGCTTTGTGACCTTGAAAAATCTAAAATTGAAATTGTTTTGCGAGAACAATGTGGAACCTTAGCTGCTATTTCTGCTCAACCGGCACTGATTGAAGAGATTAAAGAGAAACAGTAACTGGGTGACTTCTTGAAAAAGATTATCGGAGAAAGAGAATCTAAACCGAGACCGGGATTCAAATTCGAGAATAATGTATTGAAATTTCAAGAAAGACTGTGTACCAAATGATACTAAACTGAAAAGAAGAGTTCTGCAAGAGGGCCACAACTCAAGATTTTCTATCCATCCGGGGAATACGAAAATGTACCAAGACCTGAAACTGAACTTCTGGTGGCCGGGAATGAAGAAAGAGATTGCTGATTTTGTATCGAAATGTCTTCATTGCCAACAAGTTAAAGCCGAACATCAACGACCCGCAGGCTTATTGCAGCCCTTACCGATACCGGAGTGGAAATGGGAGCATATCACCATGGATTTTATAGTGGGATTGCCTCGCTCCAGTAAAGGTATGGACTCGATTTGGGTTATTGTTGATAGACTGACTAAATCTGCTCACTTCTTACCTGTTAAGACAATTTATAATGCGGACAAATTGGCTATACTCTATATTGATGAAATTGTTAGACTGCATGGAGTGCCTGTGTCCATTGTTTCTGACAGAGACTCGAAGTTTACATCGAGGTTTTGACAAAGCCTACAGACTGCACTGGGTACTGAACTGAGACTGAGTAGTGCCTATCATCCTCAGACAGATGGCCAGTCAGAAAGGACCATCCAAACTCTGGAGGATTTACTGAGAATGTGTGTCCTTGATTTTCAGGGAAACTGGGAAAGTCATTTGCCCTTAGCTGAATTTGCTTACAACAACAGCTATCACTTGAGTATTGGCATGGCGCCTTTCGAGGCATTGTATGGCAGAAAATGTAGATCTCCGATTTGCTGGGCAGAAGTTGGAGATGGGCCTTTGCTTGGGCCCGAGATTGTATATGAAACGACTGAGAAAGTAAAACTGATACAACAGAGACTGAAAACTGCACAGAGCAGACAGAAAAGTTATGCTGATGTTAGCAGACGAGACAGAGAGTATGAAGTGGATGATCACGTATTTGTGAAAGTGACACTAATGAAAGGCCAGACTCGTTTTGGAGTCAAAGACAAGTTAGCATCGAGATACGTCGGACCATATGAGATTATTGAGAAAATCAATCCGGTGGCGTATCAAGTTGCGCTCCCTCCTGAAATGGAGCATATGCATAACGTCTTCCACATTTCTATGTTGAGAGACTACCTCCGGGATCCTTTTCATGTAATAGAGCCTACTCGTGTAGTGCTGAGTGATGACTACACTTACGAGGAACGGCCTATACAGATTGTAAACAGACGGATCAAGAAGTTGAGAAACAAAGAGATCCCGTTAGTGAAGGTCGACTGGCAAAACCATGGTGGCGTGTATGCCACTTGGGAAAGGGAAGATGACATGGCTACAAGATATCCTGAACTGTTTCCACTGAATCCTGTTTTCTTCCAGAATAAAGGTAACTCGAGTTTAGAGGACTAAACTCTTTTTAAGGAGGGGAGACTGTAACAACCCTCGTCACTGTTTATCAATTGACCACTGATTACCGTTAAACTGAACTGATTATGACTGATAATCAAACTGAATGAAATACTGAACTGACTGACTGAAATTTGAAACTGAAATGACTGAGTATATCTGTTCAATTGTAATTCTATCTGTTCAATTATTGTTATCTGTTTGTGTTTTTAGTGTTTAAACTGCTAAGTGAAGGCCTCATCAGCGGCCGAACCGGAAATTGATTAATGTTTCATGATCCTCATAATTTATAGGATTTTATGGCATACTTATCTAAAAATTGATTTAGTATGATTAAATTAGATTAAATATTGATCAATTGCTAGTTTTTGACTTAATTACCTTAATGCCACTTAAGTGGCCCACTACTTGGATCATCTTTGAGCCTCCTTACACTCATACATACACATTTCATCAGCTCATTCCTTAGACTCAACCGACCAAGATAAAGAGTGAGAGAGAATTGAGTTGATCTTGAGTTCATTGGTAGAATTGCTTGAAGAATTGAAGCATAGGTTGCTAATTTGAGCTTCTAGTCTTGCATTGAAGACCTAAGGTAGAGTAACTACCCTTTTGTTCTTGAGTTTAAGTGATTCTTGCATGATTTATAGCAAATTGTAGCCTTGAGCCAAGTTATGGCTCTTACATGTTGAATTGAAGCTCATTCCTTGCATACATGTTTGTATTGTAGATATTGAGTTGTTTTCATGGCAAAATGTTACTTGCATGTGCACAATTATGTTTAAGTCCATGAACTCATCATGTTTTTGAAAGACTTGGCTCATTAGAGCATGTTTTGAAGCTTGAAAGTTATTTGAAGACCATGCATGTCATGTTTGAGGATTGTTCTTGAAAAATTGGTTTGAATTGGGTTTGAATTAAACACCCTTGGGCTTTGATTTCTCAAATTGAGTTTTGAATCATGTTTAACTATGAGTTTTTAAGAGATTTTCCAGAAAATGGGCCCAAGAGGATCGAAAATTATGCTTTTGAACTTGGTTCTTGGCTTGGAGGTGCAATCTGGATTTTCCAGATTTTGCACTCCCGCTCGAGCGGGGAAGGTGACGCTCGAGCGTGGAATCCGAGCATCCAGTATCTCTGCACTGTTTTACAATCTGCTCGAGCGGAGGACTGGGCGCTCGAGCAGAGTCTTGTGTCTCAAGCTCGAGCGGGCGTCGAGCGTCCGTCGAGCGGAGATTTCACCCATCCAATACTTTTGCAGTATGCCCGAGCGGGGGATTTGTTGCTCGAGTGGGTACCCTTGTCTGCATGTCCGCTCGAGCGGAGTGACATACGCTCGAGCGTGACCCCTGTTTTCTGACAAATCTGAAATGCTTTTAATGTACATCTTTGCATCCTCATCCCATTCTAGGCATTCTTAGGCCTAGTTTAAGACATCTTATTGAGGATATAGATGCAGAACACACCAAGGCAAATTAGGGATTAAGTTATTATCTTTCCCAGCTGTGTAGCTTAGTGTGTTCAATCTGTTAACTGTGTAGGATTGGCTTTCTGAGGAGACGCTCTAGCATACTGTAGCCTAGAACTCTGTGAGTAACGATTGTGTAAAGATATGTTCACAAATGATTATCTTCTGAACAACTGAACTGTACTGCTTTCCGAACTGAATACATTTGTTGAATGGCATGCTTGATTGATGTTTTGTCAAGTAGTCCATAAAAACTCTTTTATTTTTCTTAGATTTCAAGAGACCCACTACGACAATCCTTCGAATCACAATGACTTATTTAGAGAGAGAGAGAGAAGCAAAATTCTTTCACTTTCTCTCGCTATATCCATATACCCAGAAGCCTACGAATTTTCTGGGTTTGGTTTTGGGTGTGAAGAGAGAAAGGAAGCCGTGGAGTGTCATGTTGTTGACAGAGGCCATTTTTTGGAAGGAATGAAGGAACAAGTGAGTCACGAGTGATTGTCTTGGTTTCTCTGAGAAGACTAGTTTTGTTCTCTCTCTCTCTCTCTCTCTCTCTCTCTCTCTCTTTTTCTGTGTGTGTGTGTTTTTAATCTCTGTTCACCACTCACTAGTTCATGTAGTCTTAGAGGGTTGTTAATGGCGTGCTATAGTTTTCCTGGAGATTCATGCCAACGATTATGATGAAGAAAAACTGAAGAGTATTAATTTCTCATAATTTTTTCGAGATGGATTTAGTTGACCCAACAATGGTGACTCCAAGTAAGAGCAGATTGGTGCGCACTTGTGCTAAGGTTTTGCATATTCGAGTTGTCCCTGGTCTAGCCCTAGTTGATGGAATTTAGAAAAGAAAATGTCAAGTATGATAGCGTTTGCCCAGTTATAGTTTGCTCAATCTTCGTTTGATGCTGATGGGATTCAAGCTGCTGATTAGATGGTGGTCTCCCACATGGGGGTCTTCCATATGGGGGTCTTCCACATGGCAGTCTTCCGCATAGTGGTCTTCTGCATGATGGTTTTCCACATGGTCTCCTATATGGCGGTCTTTCACATGGTGGTCTTTTGCATGGTCTTCCACTTGGCGGTCTTCTACATAGTGGTCTTTTGCATGGTGATCTTTCACATGGAAGTCTTCTGTATGGTGGTCTTTCATATGGCGATTTTCCACATGGTGGTCTTCTGTATGGCGGTCTTTTGCATGGTAGTCTTTCGCATGGCGATCTTTCATATAGTCTCCCACATGGCAGTTTTTCGCATGACAAACTGGGCACTTTTGATTCCATTCGTTAGACTAAAACTGCACTCAGGAATGAAGGATTCCACATGGCGGTCTTCCGCATGGAGGTCTTTCACATAGCAGTCTTCCACATGGCAGTCTTCCGCATGGTGGTCTTTTTCATGGCGGTCTTCCACATGACAAACCGGGCACTTTTAATTCCCTTCGTTAGACTAAAGCTGCACTCAAGAATAAGGGACTACTGATGGGTATAACCCATATTGATGGGCATAGCCTAAATAGGTGGTCCAATGGGCCATCCAAATAATTCCTAACCCAACTTAGGCCCAGGGGCCAGACAAAAAAAAGAGACAAGTCACCTCATTTTCTTTCATGATTTCTGTGACATGACGACGCTGCTATGGCCGACTATAGGTCATGACACTTTCGCATAGCAGTCTTCCATATGGCAGTCTTCCGCATGGTGGTCTTTTTCATGGTGGTCTTCCATATGACAAACCGAGCACTTTTGATTCCCTTCGTTGGACTAAAGATGCACTCAAGAAGAAGGGACTACTGATGGGTATAACCCATACTGATGGGCATAGCCTAAATAGGTGGTCCAATGGGCCATCCAAATAATTCCTAACCCAACTTAGGCCCAGGGGCCAGACAAAAAAAAGAGACAAGTCACCTCATTTTCTTCCGTGATTTCTGTGACATGACGACGCTGCTATGGCCGACTATAAATAGTCATAGACTTACGGCTGGTAGGACAGTGTGAAAAGACAAAGACAGGAGAGCAATCATGAGTGGGGCATGGTAAGCCAAGAGGCTAACAAAGGTATGAAAAATATCAATACATACATACTTTCCCTAATTACTTCTTGACTCTTTTTTTGCAATCTAACTTAACCATTGGAGGGTCCTCAGAAAGGAACCCTACCCCTTGGGTCCTTCCTACTGGACTTGGTGTAAGTGCTATTGGAAAGACGACGTTCAGCCAACCTATAAAGCATCTGGATCCTGTCCGACCCATCTCTCGTCCGACCAAACTGCATCATCACATGATATTGATTATTTAATTGTGAGTTTTTGGTGGGATCAAATAGAAAATCATCGTAAAATCCATTGGACGAAGTGGAATAGTTTGTGTCATACTAAGTTGGAAGGTAGAATGAGGTTTTGCTGTCTCTCTGCTTTCAATAGAGCAATGCTTGCTATACAAAGTTAGTGGTTGTTGCATAACCCTCATACTTCGATTGGAAAAATTTTGAAGCCCAAATATTTTCCAAATGGTTTGTTTTAGACGCTGATTTAGGGCGTAATCCATCTTATACTTGGCGTAGTATTTGGAAAGCCCGGCCTTTGCTTGAAGCGGGTCTTTGTTGGAGAATTGGAAATGGTCTTAGTGTTCATATCTTGTAGGACAAGTGGGTGCCTAGGCCGTCTTCGTTTAAAAGTGTTTATCCCCCTCAATTATTACCGGAAGATGCGTTAATGGCGGGGATACTTGATAAGGCCTCTTGTCATTGAAACATGTCTATATGTCAGCATTGTTTTTCGACCTCTGAATGTCAACTGATTGAGAGTATTTCGCTTCCTTCACGGCGTGCCAACGATATTCTGGTGTGGCACTATACGCAAATGGTGTGTATTTAGTTCGCTCAGCTTACCATCTTGAAATGGGTCTTCGAAGTTGAGCTTCTGTTGTGTTCTCTTTTGATGGAAATGTCATTACTTGTTTGATTTGGAAGCGACTGTGGCAAGTTGTTGTACCTTGTAAAGTCAAGATTTTTGGATGGAAATTGTGTCTTAATATTCTTCCTGTTGGTGCTCAACTCAAAAAATGGAAGGTTTTAGAGAAAGATTGTTGTGTTATGTGTGCGTCGGCCCCTGAATCAATTGTTCATTGCTTTCTTGAATGTGGTATGGCATCTGATGTTTGGGACTCTATTGACTTGGATGTGGTTATTGCTGTTCAGAGTATTTTTGATTTCTAGATTTGGATTATGGATCACAGTGCAAGTTGGGATAATGATGGGTTGGCCTTGTTTTTGATAGTTTGTTGGTGCCTTTGGAATAATTGAAATTGTCGACTTTTCAATCGTACTTATCGTTTTGGTATGAAGGTTGTAGCATTTGCCAAAATATATCTCTGAGAGTTTTTGACAGGTCAAGCGAGAGTTGTAGTGCCGCATACTTCTCCTTTCTCGACTTCATGGTCCCTTCCTACAAAAAAAAAACAATGCCCAATTAGTACACATTAATGTGTGTTTAGGAGAGAAAATATTGAGTACACACCAAACCTTTGGCATAATACACAAAGTGGTGGTCATAAGACTTGAACTCATAACCTCAAGGTTATTAGGCTAAGTTTTAACTATTGAACTAGTGGTCACCCTTCCTCTACAAGGTATTTCTAAAATTAATTTTGATGGTGCATTTTTTCACAAGCATGGCACAATGGGGATTGGGGTTATAGTGTGGGATTGGCATGGTGATGTAATTGTTGTTATGTCCCACAAGCTAGCTAGTATGATTGTTATTGCTAATTTGGAAGCGTTAGCGCTATTTAGTGCGGCTGAATTTTGTGACAACCACCTCCTTAATTAAGCAGATCAAGTATATTAATTATAAGTTTATTGCTAACTATGTGATTATGTGCTATGTGAAATATGTGCCATATGATATATTCTTGCATTGATTGGTAGTGTAGTGTCATTGGGAACAAATATGTAAAAGAACGAAATTAAACCTATCTAATTCACTAATTTTAACGAGTTAGAATTAAATAATAAAATAGGAAATTAGAGCCTAATTCACCTTAGTATATTTTAATTTAGTGTAATTGAGTTTACAAGATGATGAGATTAAATAAATTTGAATTACTTGACTACAATTTAATTAATGATATGAATTATTATTATTATTATTATTATTATAGAGTATTCTACTCATCTATTAACCAAAGAAGAGAACTAGTGGGGTTTGATAGATATACCACATGTAGAGAGAGAGAGAGAGAGAGAGAGTGTGTGGAAGTGCTCTAAGTAAAGAACTCAGCAAGAAGAGAGGAAATGAAGGAGGAACTAGGAAGAAGTTAGGAACTTGGCTTGAATTTTCTTCAATCATCAAAACTAGGTAAACTTTTCATTCTAATTTCTTGAAACTAAAGCTCCTTTACTTTTCATCTACTAAGATACAAATGTAATTAAGGAGAATTTACAAGGAATTAGAGGCTTTAGTACATGCAAGCCAAGATAGACAAGAATTGAGGGAAATTGGCCTTAAATTCAACATGCATGGCATGCATTGATGACATTTTTGTTTACAAACCTTCATAATTCTAAACGTTTTGAATGGATTTCTCTCATAAATTTTGGAATTGGACTTTTGGACCACATGGTATATGGTTTCATAATTTCTTTGGAGCCTTGATTAATTAATTAGTAACATTAGCCAATTATGGACATGCATGGTTTTATTGTTATTTCTACATGTCTTCCCTTGCATGGTTTTACAAAATTGATGGGGAAACTTCAAAGATGTGGATTTGGAACTCATGTAGGCATATATTGATGATTTTAGACTTTAATTTCAAGAGTATGAATTTTGCATGGACGATTGGCATTAAATTGAGTTATGTTTTAAAAATTGAGGTTAGAAATCCAAGTTGTTGTTGTTGTTACAAGAAGATTGAAGTGAAATGCATAATTTGAGGCTGGAATTTTAATAACTGGAGGTCCCAATTGCAGAGCAGTTTTCGACCAACTTTTCAACCCAGACTGCTCGAATGGACAACCTTCATGAGCTCAGCGGTGCATTCTGTTGGACCACCACTCGTGCGACCAAGGACACCGCACGTGCGGCCAACAGGGCAGCCCCGGTTTTGTTTTTCACTTCACTTTTTCCCCTTCCGGGCCTCTGTTTACATGGTTTTAAAATGTTTTCATGATCATTTGTATCTCACGAGTGCATTAGAGTGTATAAATGAAAAATTGGAATCGAATTAGTAAAGGCAAGTAATTATTGAATAAGTAACAACCGAGTCTAGTAGAATTGACTAGCGATATGAATGTCATTGAATTGTTATGCTTGAATTTGTTTGTTAGGTCGGACGCCATATCTTTAGTGCCTTATCGTACGTGTTCAAGAAGCCCACTGTGAGTAACAATGTTGTAAAGATATGTTCAAATTGTATTTATTTTCTGAATGATAAATTATGTCATTTCTAAACGGTTACTTTTTATTGATTGAATAATGATCATCTTTTGAATTGTATTCGTGGCATCCATAGCGTATTGTTATTGTCATTGTTATTGATATTACTATTGTTATAGAGATCTCTGTCAGTTCCAAATCTTAGAACTATTGTTATTGTATGATGGCCATCAATTGATTGTTCGGTCTTTTAAGACCAAGTGTATCGTTGCTATCGGATGTACCACGTATGATTTATATAATTATTGATTGATTGAATTGATTTAACTGAACGATTGATTGACAAATGATATTGATTGAGAAAATATTCAATTGATAATCGATTGTCTTAAATATTGTAAGGACATTATTCATAACCCCTTTACGCAGTTGTTATTCACTAGGCTCTAGCTCATTGTTTATTATATATATGTAGGTGATCGAGCACCGGATCAAAGCTAGTGGTGTCAACCCGAACCCTTATTTTGTCAAGCCAGCTATTGTGTCTCATCCCGAGGTTCCGAACCAACATGTATCAAGGTTTTTGAGGTGGTTCAAATTCACCCATTCGATATTGGTCAAGTGAAATGAATGCTTTATGACTTTTGTTAATACTGTTTTCGATAATGGGATTTAATTCCCTACATTGTGTTTTGTCTTATGTATGTGAGCCTTATGGACATAAGTGTTTGTGTATATAATTATGTATATAAAAATTTATTTCCATTCAGGTCCTCACAGCTCATTGGACGATGTATATTATTATCGATTGGCTTCCGCCAACCCCTTTATATTGTATTATTGTCATTTTTGTTAAACAGGCCTTCGGTAATCACAGATTACTAGCCGGTTATGACGTTAACCTATAGGG